TTATGAACAATAGTAACATTCTGGGATAGCTGAGCCTGCTCCTCCTGCACGAACTTGCCCTTAAGCTTTACAATCCATTTATCAACACCTTGCCCTTCGCGTTTTTGCTTCTGTTCGCCCATTAATCTTTGAGACATTTGTCAAACACATGGTCTACCTTGTTACATATATTGCATACAATTGGCTTCCATTCATATTCAATGTACACAATACAATCCTCCCCATTGCACAATGTCGTCAGGTAGAGCATCCTTAATACCAACCTCCAGCATTACACGCACAAACTGACCTCTGTTTGCAGCCGCATTATCTAGAAAAATAGGTTTATCAAAGTTTGAACATACCTTCAAAGTTTGATCCAAATCGGTACTGACTCAAGCATGTCTTTCTTCAGATTCACATTGCAGTTCCACTTCTTCAGAATAACCGGCTTTCCTTCAAAAGTATGCACTCTCTGCAAAACCCTATTAACCCCCTCTTCATTGTTGAACTTTGCCACAATGTAGCCATCCCGAAGGTAAGTTCGTTTTGTATTAGGGCACCATCTCTTCTGTACATACTTCTTGAAGAAATGATAATAGAGTTTTTTGCCCATGACATATTCAATGATAGAGTACTTACATATGGAAACATTTTCTTCAACATCTGCATCCTCTATCACCACTTTCTCCTTACACTTGAAACCTTCATGGTAATCTAAATTAATGAAAGACGTTTCTGTAGATTTCGTGAAAAAACTGCACCATGACTGACGTGGAGGCGAACCTTGCAGAGGAGATGAGACTGCTCCCGGCGGCTGTGTGGAGGAGGAATTACCCTCCTCCATGAGAAGCACCATCTTCTCCACGTAACCGACTCAAAACCCTAAGAAACACCCCGACAATAGCTGTTGATGTGGCTATGATTCTATCCGTCTTCCTCTAGACCCTATCAGTGGACATTCTAGGATCCAATTGCTTCTTTGGAATGGGTGATTTCTAAAAGAATGGGTTGATGACAAAGATAACCTGCTGCTAGATAGAACACATCTTTTGTTGGATTTTTGACCATCCAGAAAAGTCTCCCTTGATAAAAACTTTCTTGATCCAGTCTCTAAGAAATTTGATTTAGATTTGGAATTGATATTTATTTCAAGAAAATAGTTAACTGGTGGAGAAAGCCACTTTTCCAGGCCCTATGATATGGTGAACTCTGATAATTGTTTGGGATTTTACAAATTTAAAAATAAATGACCATATGTGTGAAGAGCAAGATAGTACAGCTTTTTTTTGTAGTTATGAAAAGTAGGCCCCTATGAAATGTTAAATTAAGGTACGGGAAAAACCCTGCTACTGTTTTGCTTGTGACACAGTAAATAGGTCTTTTGTTGATAATGGGCTCCACATTGTTTTTCATAATAATATAGATTACTTACTAGTTTATTTTACAGGAAATAGACTGGAACATACCAGTTTCATCTGGTTCATGTTAGAAAATTCTTCGGTGATACATCTTGTCAGTATCACATCTTCTTTTTGTTTCATCCACAATTACACATAGATTCCTTGCTATTATGTATCAATGTATCAAGTTTAGCACCAGGATTACCCAGTGAAAACAGGATCAGTAAATCAACAAATAATAAAGAGAGAGAAAGAGAGACTCAAATAGATGCTTGAAATAAACAATTTCGTTGACCTCTGGCATATCTAAGCATTTCATGGTCAAAGTACTCTGGCCTAAACTTCTTAAATAACTTTATGGAGCAAATTTAGGCAGCATTTGGTTGGTGTAATGGTAAAACTAACCCTTTCAAGAGCTTGCAGGTGAAAGGGAAACAACCTCCAAATAATATCAACTTTTAGTCTCGTACCTAGTACTCCCCTTCCTGTGCCCTGCATTGTCAGGACCGACCCAGATTTGTGGTCTTTTCTTAATTTTATGAAGTAATATTAGATAATCAAAATTTGTAAAATCTTTAATTTGTGTGTTGAGTTTTGAAAGTGATAGAGGACTGTCAAGAAAGGTCTTACTGGGTCGATTAGTATTTTGATTTTGTGGGCAAAAGGTCTGTGGAGATGGATGATTTTAAGTTTCATAAAGTATGTCAGAAAGTGGTAAGGTTTTGGAATTATATTGAGGCAAACGGTTGTTGTGGGTATTGTAAATATTACTGCATGAACTACCGTTGAATATTTAGTTCCTTCCGTGTGCTATGGTTGTGGAAGGCTATGTTACTTGGACTCAGCAGATTAGCCCAAGGTGTCTGTGTCGACACGACACGAACACCGACACCGGATACTTGTCAGATCTTGCACTGTACTAGTCGGACACGGTGATTTAAGAAAAAGCTGTCTCGATTGGTTGGTAATAGTGGTCACTGGTTTGGTTGTCTTGGCCGTCGAGAGAGGTTTTTTGAAGAAGACTGGTTTGGCTGTAGACTGAAGGTGGAAAAAGAAACTGGAATTCACGCAACTTTACTATCCATATAATTATAGTCTTATATATATAATATTTATATAATAGTATATATGTATATAGATATTAATATGTAATGGATTAGTGGTTGGGTTACAGTTGCCCACTAACTCATTACTTTGTCCTTCACATAATTTTATATTTAATATACTATGGGTTTGTGTGGTGGGTTCAACTGTCCATGTGCTGGTTATCATTAAAATAAATAATGACAATGATGTAATGGGCTATGTTACCCGGACTCGGGTACGGGTGTCAGACACGGGTACGTGTCTGGAGGTTGGATCCACTAATTTATTCAATTATAGGACACGGGGACACATAATATATAAGTGTCCAAAATTCGGACACGGGTACTTAGACACGGCATATAACAGAGCTTGAACCACTTATTTACATGAGTACACAGCTGTGGTTCAACACGTGGTTTATAAAAATTGTTTTATACTATAGATCATATATAAAATATTCTGTTATGATGAGTTGAAGGCTATCTTTTTTATTGTATCTTTTTTTTTTTTTTTTTTTTTTTTTTTTTTTTAAACACCGTTCATTAGTTCTAGAATTTATTATTTATTTAGACCCATGCTTATACTGCACTGTTATATACTAGTATATATATATACTGTGGCCCGTGGCATGTCATTTACTTATTACCACAACTTTTGACCACTTTTAACCCATCACATCATTGTCATTATTTCTTTTAATGATAACCAGCACATGGACAGTTGAACCCACCACACCAACCCATAGTATATTAATTTAAAATTATCTAAAGGACAAAGTAATGAGTTAGTGGGCAACTGTAACCCACCCACTAATCCATTATATATTAATATCTATATACATATATACTATTATATAAATTATATATATATATATCAGACTATAATTATATGGATAGTAAAGTTGCGTGAATTCCAGTTTCTTCTTCCACCTTTAGTCTACGACCAAACTAGTCTTCTTCAAAAATACCTCTCTCGACGGCTAAGACAACCAAACGAGTGACCACTATTACCAACCAATCGAGACAGCATTTTCTTAAATCGCCGTGTCCAACCTGTACAGTGCAAGATCCAACATGTATCCGGTGTCCGTGTCGACACGGACACCTTGGGCTAATCTGCCTAGTCCAGGTAACATAGGTGATGGGTCTAAAGTGGTCAAAAGTTGTGGTAATAAAAGTAAATGACATGCCACGCAATATATATATATATATATACTAATATATAACAGTGCAGTATGAGCATGAGTCTAAATAAATACTATCTCCGTCCCAAATTAGATGTCCTGTTTGGAGAACCGTGACTCACTTAGATGTCCTGTTTGGGGAACTGTGACTCACAATTGTGAGTCACGTTCTTCAAACAGAACATCTTTTTTGGGACAGAGGGAGTAATAAATTCTAGAGCTAATGATCGGTGCTTTTTTTTTTTTTTTTTAAAAAAAAAAAAAAAAGATACAGTAAAAGGATGGCCTTCAATCGATCATAATAGAATATTTTTTATATGATCTATAGTATAAGACAATTTTTGTAAATCACATGTGTTGAACCACAACTGTGTGCTTATGTAAATAAGTGGTTCAAGCTCTATTATATGCCGTGTCCCAATTTTGGACACTTTTATTCCGTGTCCTCGTGTCCTATAATTGAATAGATTGGTGGATCCGACCTCTTAGACACGTATCCATGTCCGGCACTCGTACCTGAGTCTGGGTAACATAGGTGGAAGGTGTTTGGACTTGTGGAATTGAATTTCTAAGTGTAGAAAAGATGAACATATTTTCTTTGGAGGCTAAAGAAGTGCAGAAAATTAAGAATACGAGGAAGAAACTCTTGGAGTCTCTCCTAGAATAAGGTAGGCATCACTTAAAGTGTTCACAATTCTCAGAGTATAATTAAAAATTTCTCCAGAACCTTGTACATTGTTCAACTGAAAGCATTACATGATTCTTTTAAGGCCTTCAAGTAATTCAAGCTCTAGTATGACTTGAACTCCATATTTGAAAATTATGGGGCTCGATTAGAAAGACAGATATAAACTTACTCTATTCAAGGATTCCTTGTCAGCTACATGAATCTTGTTTTGCCAATTTGGTTCTTGTAGGACCATAACTTCAATTTATACTCACCCACATAAATCTAGTAAAGTTTATACATAAAACCTAATACCAGAACTAGACCCAAAAGATGACCCATGCCACATCTACAATCCATGTCTAGTGAATATGAAATTACAAAAATACAATTGACTCAAAACTGGCAAGAAGCCATAACAGAAATATATCATAAATAAATAATTTTTAGTGACCTTGAAACAAAGCCTTACTCTAAGTACCTTAGTTCTAATGACTCTATCTGAGGGATGTGTTGGGTACACACTTGGTCACATACTCTAAGTACCTTAGTTCTAACCAGATGTTATTATTATTCAAGAAACTAAAAACTTTTCAATCTGTAGTGTTTTGTGGACATGGGTTGATCATGTATTGATGAACAATTGAACAATCAAGTATTTAATTTTTCTTCCTTGATTCAGGTAAATGCTTTGATTGCGGGCGCTGTAGCGGGGGCAGCTGCTGGTGCCGGCACCCGAAGCTGGAAACAGGTCGCGGGGATGGCCGGTCTTGTTTCTGCCTTTTGTGCTGTAGCTGACAACTCCTAAAACAATTTGAAGTTCCTCCTTGTAAAAAGTCTTACGGTGGAGGACGAAAAGGAAGTGCTCAACCTCATCTTACACCTCCACTTGTGTGCTGCCAATTCAATTCTTCTTCTCTCTCTCTGTTATAGGAACTATATTTATTTTTTTAAACTTTAAAACGGGGTGAATCTTTCTGATTTATAGTTGTTCTCGGAGTCTCGTACTAACTGTGTTGCTGCTATACATAATACAATCATAATATCTCAACTCGTGAAACAAGTTATGATATTTTCATCTTTACACACATATATACATGAGCACATGCAACCAAAAAAATGTATGAAATGTAATATTGGGAATGCTATAAGAATACCGTGAAATACCAGTTTTCTTTCCGGATTTGATTCTCCCGGAGGGGGAGAAAAAAGTTATTTATTTGTCATTGTAAGAACCATTAAACAGGCATGATAGAAATAAGCAGCAAAAAACTTAAGCCTGCATAACTTGTATCAGATATTCATTTCTATTATTATTATTATTTTTTTTTTATTACTCTATATATATATATATATATATTTATATATGGGCTACTGGGAGTGATTCTCCGTATGAGCTCCAGGGAGTGATTCTTACATTATTATTTTTCATTGGCCACATTTTATCCACAGGTAAGATGTGAGATAACTCGTCTTTGATGTTATCAGTTACTTATCAAAATAAAAATAAAAAAGAAGGAAAAAAAATAAATTGATTGTTAAGCGCTTGTTTGGTGGCCCATATCTGATATTATTTTGGTGTTTTAGTTTTGGTTTTGGTTTTGGGCCAATATCATGTTTGGAGCGGGTTGATATGGTATTTAATAGTGCCAAAACATTATCATTTTTGGGCCAAAACTCATATCAACATTTTGGTGATATTAGACTGATATGGCACTGTAGCGGTAAATTGTTCTCAAACCAAAACCAAACCAACCCTCATTTTTACTGTAGCGGTGATATCACGTATATAAAGGTCGCATATCAGATTTAGGGCATTTTTTAGCGTCGTTTCTCTCTCTTCGCGTAGCTCCTTGGAGGCGACTTCAGTGGCGATCCAACCTCTTCCATCACCGATCTGGCAGAGCTCCTCCACCAGGTACCTCATTTTGTATCTCTGTTTGTATCTATAGATCACATATATCTTCGCTTTTGAGATTTACATTTGGGAGGTCCTCGTGTTCACTTTCTCTCTCTAACATATTGTGACAATCACTTTCTCTCTCGCGTTTCCAAGTTCTGATCTTTATTCCAATCATGTTGTGAGTGTTGTAATTTAGGGCATTTGTGTCCAGATCTCAAATTTCATGAGGCTGTGACGGAGATCTAGGGTTTGATTTTAGCCCTTTTCTGGGTTGTTTGTTCTATCAACCATGGTTCTGATTTAAGGGTTTAGGTGTCATCCATCGATTGTGTGTGTTGCAATTTCATATAATTTAGTTCTTGAATGACAGTCTCATCAATTTTACTCTTTTCTTTAAAGGCCTCTCGGACCTCAGCTTGTGCCTTCTCCAATCTCCATTACTCTTGGGTTCTTTAGTAGTTCTGACATTGCCCATTCTATGGTTGTTGTAGAAGTCTCACTCCCTGTCACAAAAATGTCCTGAAATTAAAAAATGATTGAGCTACCATGAAATAAAAAAAGACCATGAATGTCAGTTAATTTGTTAGCATTACTGAATTTCCATATTATGCCATGTCTATTTAAACTAAATCAGTACTACTTCTAATTAATTTTTATTCCAAATTAATGGTATTACATGAAATGAATATTGCCAGTTATGCTAGCAGTATAATACTTTCAGATGCTAGTCAATTCATGTTCAACTCATGAGTCCTGACTTCTATTCTCTCTCATCATCCTCGTGTAACATGAACACACGAGAGCAATCTTCGTGAGTGCTTTTTCAGTTCAGATGAGTCTCATCCAGTGTGTTATACTGTTATATACCACTTTCCTTCACCTTACGCTTAGATATGCTAAACTAGTAGTTAGCGTACAAACTGGAACAAAGAGCTAGCCTCAAATACTAAATTTCGACTACGCTAAACTAGTAGTTAGTGTACAATTGCAACAAAGAGCTAGCCTCAAATACTAAATTTTGACTACAATTTTTGTTTTATTTCTGCAAAAAATAATTTTAAAATGTTGAAAATTGTTTTATATCTTAATCTTTGCAGTGCTTCATGTATACATGTATTATGTGTGGATATAAATATATACATGAAACATTATAAAATTGTATGAATATATACATACCAAAATCACAGCTTTGATGTTGTCAGTTGTGAGAGAGAAGTTGAGATCATTACTCTTCTCAACCTTTAGGAGACCATCAACTAGAGAAATGGAAACTTATCCAATTTGAATCACCTAGTTTATATAGAAATTGACTTTGAAATTCAGGAAGGAGACTGATTTTTAAGAAAATCATGTGGTTGATTTAATTGATTTTGACAAATAGAATTTGAACTGAAGAAAATGGTGAGAATTTGAACCGAAGAAAATGAAGAAAATGGAAGGAGACTGATTTTTATCACATTTTTACTTCTTTTTTTCTTCTTTTTTGCCCCTTATTGAAGTGTTTTATAGACAGTACCTTCTTTACTTATCATTGACGTGTTGAATTATGAGTCAAAACACAATTCAATATACTAAACTATTTAATTACTTAATAATAATTAGATCGACATGAACAATGACAATGTTGAACAATACCCATCAAGAGACATTCATTCTCTTGATGGTGAGAATGGTCAGGATGTTGTAGTTATTGAACAGGCCGATGCCGCTGTTTGGTGTGATGCCTATCAAGAGAAATTCATGCTCTTGATGGAGGAAGAGGTTGGAAAAGGAAATCGTACAGGCACGACTTTTAATCCAAATGGGTGGACACATATTGTGAACACAATGTTATTGGAAACTTGAAAGAAGTACACAAAGGACCAATGTAGACAAAAATTCAATAATATAAGAGCACTGTACAAAGATTGCAAACAAATATTATCTGAGACTGGTGTAGGGTACAACAGTGAAACTAGGATGATTGAGTTGGAAGCTGAAAGATGGGTTCGATTGTGCAAGGTTAGTATTTCAATACGTGTCTATTTACGATACATACAGTTAGTAATTAGTGATTTAGTATTACAAGGGTTTGATGAACAATAATTGTAAGCTAATAACGTGTAGGTTCTCAAGCATGGCAAAAAAATAAAAAAAACAGGGGTGTAAGAATTATGAGCAGATGGTAAGGATTTTTGGGAATACACATGCTACTGGCAAGCATGTTCATCCTTCTACAAAGACACCCAGACCTCACCAAGTGCTAACAATGCCTCAAGTGGCAACACATGAAGTTGAAATTCATAACACTGACGGCAATGCGGGCATGACTGATTTAGAACGGCCTAATATAGAAGGACCTATTGACTTCAGTCCTACTCCCAAACTTGTAGCTAAGAAACAGAAGAAAGGAACTTTTTCAGAAACAATGTCTTTAGTGATAGAATGTTTGACTAATATTGGGAACGCGAAAGCTGATAAAATTGCAAAAGCCATAGCAGAATCATCTTCTAGTTGTCAACCATCTCGATTTACCAAAATGCCTGAAGTGACATCTCCCAGTAAAAAAGAAAAACAAATGGATCCCCAGCTTGAAGAGTGCATTAAGATCGTCAACACATTAGTAGGGATTGATGATACCTATTATGCTAAGATCATAAGGATGTTTGGTGAGGACAAGGTGTGGAGGGACATATTTCTTCGCATTCCTGATGACAGGAAGGTTGGGTGGGTGATGAATCAGCCTCTGTGATTTCTTCGGTATCTTACTTTTATGTGCTTTTGGACGACTGTTTTATAACTGCTTTTACATTACTGTTGGATGACTGTAATGAATTTTTCTTATCTACTGTTTTTACAATATTGTTGGAAGACTATATTTAATTCTTCTATCTACTGCTTTTAAATTAATGCTGGATAACTATTTATGTTCTATATCTATTGCTTTTACATTATTGTTGGATAATTGTATGATTTGGTATGTCTTTTCCATTTTGCTTAATTTTTATTACAATAACTGCTTCTGTTTATTCTTAAATAGGATAGTAGCTATGGATATAAGGACAATATTAACCATTTATGATGATGATGATGAGGAGGAAATTCTTGTACTGATCGCAGCCGTATATGAGTACTATCATAAACATTTTGATAAGCAACGTTGTAGGGATTCCATGTTACAAGGGGAAGATTACATATTCGAGCTCTTAAATGGCTATGAAGATAGGTGTTATGAAAATTTTCGGATGTACCCCAACACCTTAAGGGCATTGTGTCGTGAGTTGAAATTGTTACGATTGAAAGATTCAACATTTCTAATGGTAGAAGAACAAGTTGCAATTTTCTTACTTACTGTGTCTCACAATGAAAGGAATCGTATTGTTGCTGAAAGATTCCAACACTCTACATCCACAATTTCATATCACTTTCATACTTTATTAAAGTTAATTTGTGAGTTAGAGACTAAGATTATTGTTCCCTCGGGTTTGAATGAAATTCCTAAAGAGATAAAGAACAATCCAAAGTTTTACCCATACTTTAAGAATTGTATAGGAGCCATAGATGGTACTCATATCCATGATGTAGTGCCAGTTGACCAACAAATACCCTTTCGTGGTAGAAAGGGTGATACGACCCAAAATGTCATGGCCGTGTGTTCATTTGATATGAAAGTCTCATACATTCTAGCAAGGTGGGAAGGGTCTGCTAATGATTCGAAGATTTTAAATGAGTGCATTCAGAATGAGGATTTCAATTTTCCATCACCACCCGAAGGTAAAAATATTACATTTCCATATTTATGCATTTAATGTTACAAATACGTTAATTTTAATACTTAACATGACAGGTAAGTTTTATTTAGTGGACTTTGGGTACGCCAATCAACCGGGGTCAACGTTACCACATGCAGGAATATCGTAGACATACTAGAGGACCACGTGGTAGAGAAGAGGTGTACAATTTTAGGCACTCATCATTGAGGAATATCATAGAGCGATGTTTTGGGTTGGTAAAGATAAGATTCGCTCTATTGAAGCAAATGCCCCCTTATCACTTTGACACTCAAGTTCTTATTGTCATTGCATGTTGTACATTGCATAATTTCATAAGATCCCAAGGTGAATCTGATGAAAATTTTAATTCTGAAACCCCTCAATCTTCACAAAATGAACCTGATGTGGATGACGATG